GCATTTTCAGTACTGCCACTGATTTATGAAACAATGATAAACCATCAATGTTGAGGCATTTTTTGCATTGTTTTACCTTTCATTGCTTTCCCGTATTTAACATTTTATTTTACTTCATGGTTATTCTGCCATAACTGAGTAATACCATATGCGTCAACAGCCAGTGAGGGTCCCCTTAATCTACAACATATTTAAAGCCAAAGATGCCTTTGTCAATTTGTACAGGGTTTAAAATGCTATTTTCTTAAGAATTACATGGAGAAATTATATTCTTTGTACTTTTAGATTTGCTCGGCTGTAAGAGCCTTTGGAGTGCTCGCTTGTAGGGAAACATGGGGAAGAGCTGGGCATGTAGGGTGTCAGATCTCACATGGACAGGGCTGCTCAGGCCCAGGCCCTGGCCTCAGGGCACAGTCAGGGGCCCCACACTCTGTTGTGCAGGGGAGGGGTAGCGCTCGTCGGCCTAGTCACAGAGGAAGACAGAGGCAGCAGCTATAGGGGATAGCAGTACGTGCTTGACAGTAATTTGCACTTCTTAAAGACAGGTTCTCTCTGTCTGTGTGGTGATACCGGCAGCCGTACCGTGGACTGGATTGTGTTTTCCAACCACCTAGAACATTTCCCAGGATATCATGGCCATGAATCAGGATTCGAAGTTTCAAATCACAGATTTGAAAAATTATCCATCTTCTTTTACATATTCCCTGTGTGAAGGTTGTATGCTCTCAGAATTTGTCTGTGATATTGGTGCCAACATTCAAAGCAATGAACCAGCTTGGCCACCAACTCCTGAGTGATCTTAGACAAGTTGCCTAACTTCGCTGAGCCTCTGTTTTCCTACTCATAAACTGAGAAAAATAATAAGATTGGGCTTGACTTCATACACACAGGCCTCAGGAGAGGGCTGGGGCATTCCTGTCATCTGCCTGTCCTATTTGACAATGGCTTGTAAGATAAAGAATGCGCAGAACAAAGCGGATTTATTCCACCAGGAGATTGCTCAGGTGTTCAGTGGCCCCACCCACTGGCCTGCACAGGCTCCCACCTCCCCTCGGGCTAATTGGAAGCTAAGAGGAGCTCAGCGCTCAGACAGTACCGCTCTTCGTGGAGGAGTGAGCAGCAGATGCTCGAGAGCTGGTAGAGGAGTCAGTCGTCGGTCGTGCAGCCAGTGTCCAGCACAGAAGAGTGGATGGAGACCCTTCCATCTCCTCCGTGTCGCCTAAGCCTGCTCCTCAAACTGTGACGTGGGCAGCACTCCCTAGGTGGGGCTGGTGGAAGACCAAGCGAGACCATCTTGTGAAAGTCATGCTCTGTCTTTGCTTGAAAAGGCATCTGTTACTGTTTCTCATCTCATTTCAAGTCAGATCTAATCCAGCAGCCTCTTCCCAGTCCCTTTAGCCAATGGTGTATAAATGTCTGGAGTAGTCCTGAGAATGGCAGTGTAATCAAATAGCTTTACATTCACGTTGGGAACCTCCCACTTCATAACTTATCAACTCTCTGGTTAGCAACTTCTCAGCTTAAAATTTACCTATAAAACCAGCATGTGGTGGCACATGCCTCTGATCCCAGCACTATAGGAGGCTGAGGCAGGAGGACTGCAAGGTTGAGCCAGGGAGCATCTTAGTGAGACCTTATCTCAAAAAAGAATTTTTTTTAAGGGGCTGGGAGTTGCTCAGTGTTAAGGCCCTGGATTCCTGGGTTCAGTGCTCAGTAACACTCCCACACCCACCCACACACCCCAGCAGCAAATACTGAACCTTAAGGTAACCTTTGTTTTTCATAAATTTATTTTTAAACCAGTGGGAATACAGGAGGACAGTCAAATTCATTACCAATCTTCCCTGGGCCTGGCTGACCCTGATGGGGGCATCAGGATGGGCCTCACAGCTCTGGTCTCCTGAGGATACTCACAGTCACCATGACCGCTGCCTGTGTGTTCACCACATACCTGACACTGAGTCCCACACTGCCACCCTCAGCTCAGCTCCCTCTGACTCTTGCTGCCACAGCTTGTCAGGAGAAAAGAACCCAGAACCCAGAAGGAGTGGCCCACATCCATCTGCAAACAGACAGCAGATGTGGCTGCTTGTGCTGCCCAGCATCCCAGGCCACATGGCCAGGGGCCTGTGTCCTCCCCACGCCCAAAGCAGGCCAGGTGCAGGGACCAACTCTGGAGGAAGAAGTCCATGTGTGATGATCAAGCGGATCCTGCCCTGGTCCTGGTCAGTGCATCTGCACAGAAAATCAAATCGTTTGAAATTTCTTGGTCAGCAAGGAAATCAACTGATCTGAGTCACAGCCTGAGTCAGTTACTTGAGGAAATTTTTAATGTGTGAATAAGGCAATAAAGTTGCATCAGAAGGTAAATCAGAGCATCACTGTGCACTGTGAGTCTTGTTCGTGGCCTGCCTTCAGGCAAAATAAGCCTGTGCTTGGTGACACAAGTCGCCCTGATGTTCCCAGTCGCACATGGATGGTGTGCCCTGGACCATACTTTAGGAAGCTCTGGGTCCTCGCTTGGATCCCACTGGAAGCTTTGAAAAGTACACAGTGTCCAGCACATGTTTGGAAAACCTCTGCACGCTGTCGGTCCCTCACTCTTCCAGGCTCACTTGTGTTTCTGAGGAACAGTGAAGGCTTAGGAGCTGGGGGATAAAAGGCAGAGGAACTGGGAGGTGGTGGGTGGAGCAGGTGGTGGTTAGAAAGTGCCTGTTGAAGTTGGGGGTGGATTCGCCAGCAGCTTGTTTGCCAGTTTCGAAGCCTCATGAGTGAGTCTCATCTAGAAAGCTGCTATAGCCTGGAGGCCTCTAAGTTTTTGCCTTATAAAAAGGAAGCGCTTGCCTCGGTGACTGCTGTGTACCAGGCAGTGGGCAGTGTCAGCTGTGCATGGCAGGGAACATCACGGGGGACACACATGCACAAGGAGCTCAGATTCCTGGGACGAGCAAGGGTTGGCCACTGGTGTTTGCCTGACTCAGGCTTCCTTGGTTAAACACTTATTAAATGTAGTAGTCAAAATTCTTTGGGTCATGTTGAAAGCATGTATCCGTGTGACTGGATGTAAAAGAAATCCCCTGGCTGCTGGAGGAGATGATTAGATCAGGCAGCTTGCAGCTGCCCACCGTGGGCCTGACTGAAAGCATGGCGGGAGCCAGGGGCTGGGTACAGCCCTCTATGCATCACCCCTGCTCGCTCGCTCAGCCCCCCATACATCTTGCTGACATTCCTCCGAATCCACTTCGTTCTTCCGCTGGCTCTGGTTTTTGGTTGGCAAAATTGGGAATCAACAGCATCAGCCATCTATGTGGCCCATTTATGAACCACGCATTCCACACACCTTCCAGCACTGCGTTTTAATGGCCTTGCTGCCCGTGACTACTCACCAGCAGCACATGTTTGCTAAGCCCTAGCACATCCTGCTGGTTCCCCGGGCTCACACACGAACCCCCTCTTGACGCTGGGAGGACCCATACTACCAAAGCCTTTATTCTGAAAGGAGGGAAGACGGCTCAAAGCCTTTATTCTGAAAGGAGGGAAGACGGCTTCCCAAAGGGAGCCAGGAAAGTGACTCGGGGAAGGATGACATAAAATGTGGATTCCAAAGCGCCAGACATTTACTGCGTGGACACCCTCTTACCCTCTGCTCCCCCTTGTTGTCTAATACGTCTGTGCGCCTGGAATACAGCCAGAACTTGGCCTAGGGACTTTAATTTATTACGATAAGTTTCAGATATTTGTTCTGATCCATTTTGCATTTCTGTCATGAACTCTCACAGGTTGAATTCCTCTCCCTCCCTGTGCACTTCTGATTTGAGAATAGAGGATGACGGAGAACAAGTTCAGAATTTATTAATAACAACATGAGTTTTATTTTAAGCTTTCCTTTTTATTAGTTTGGGGCAGATTCATATATGATTAATAGAAATAAGCAAGGGATGATGTTAGAAAGTGAGCTGCCAGACTCACAGGGGGAGCTGCCCCGAGGCTGGATTTATTACACGATAATGATGTCGCTGTGGGTGATGACATGGCGGCTGCGTTAGGGCTCACCAAGTCGTGAGAATCACGGAGCTGCTAATGATTTGGAACCCGGCGTGCTGAGCTCGACTTGGCAGCCTCGTGGAGTCGCTCAAGTGCTGGTGTGAGAGTTGCGGGCACGGCACAGGTCCGAGCTGGCTGTGCCTGTGGTGTGTGGCCCTGGCCTGGCTTCTCTGGGACGATTTCTGTGTAATTGGTCATAAAACGCAGTCATCGCGCAGGCCAGGGAACTGAGGGCGCGGGCAGGACGCAAGAGGCTCTGCCTGCCCCAAGCAGTGCTCAGGCCCAGACCCTCCGCGGAGCCCAGCAGCCCCGCCAGGCAGCCCCAGTACTTCCTGCCGGCCTCTTGGTTACCACTGCTTTACATCCATGGCCTTCGCTGAGTGCAATAAAGGAACGAATTGCACGGCGGCAGGAAGTGCCAGTTCCGCTTTGCAGGCTGAACTTTCAGGGCCTGAAGGAACCGGGTCAGGCGCAGCCGGCACTCGGGCTCCGCAGCACCTTTGGTCACTGCCTACGTTCTAATTTGCCCCAGATTTGCTGAGGGCTTCCTCTGGCACCCGCCCTGCTCGGGTTCCTGTCGCACACATCCCCTGTGCAGCAGCTTTGGTTGATCGCGAGGGAAATCCAAGGAGGAGGCGAGACGGCCGAGACAGCGATGCTGAGCTCAGCACTGACCCTCTGCTCCTGCGTCCTCAGCTGGGGCCAGAGAAGCGGCGAGCCCGGTGGGCAGTTAGCGCTGACGTCACGGCGTGTTCGAGTCGTGCGGGCGGCGTCGCTGGGAGCAGGGTCCCTAGCAGCAGACTGTGGTGTGCTCTGCTCCCGGCTCCCCAGCTCCGGGACACGGAGCCCCACAGATGGCGGGCTTGCGGCCGTGTCGTTTTGTCATTGTAAACGTTACATGACCCGACCGGGGGCTTTGCTTATAACAGAGAGGGCTTGTGCTTTATCTCTGGCAGCTTGAGAATTACATTGTGGAAAATATGAAGTCGGAGATGGCCCAGATACAACAGAACGCGGTTCAGAATCACACGGCCACCATGCTGGAGATCGGGACCAGCCTCCTGACGCAGACCGCGGAGCAGACCCGGAAGCTGACGGACGTGGAGACCCAGGTAGGGCCAGCTTCCTCGGTTTCCTCCCTTAGCCTCCTTCGTAAACACAGAGCGCAGGTCAGCGTGGGGATTGGGAAACACAAGACTTCCTGACATGCTACGCTTGTTTCTTTGGACTTACTGAGGATTGGTGTATTTAGCAGAAACAGGGCTGCTTAAGGTCCTAATCTGCATCTAAACTCAAATAAACACAGCTACCAACTGTGATGTGGCCTTGTGTCAAATAAAATAACCTATAGGTCGCATTCGTGCCTGGCTATGCCTTCCGGAGCTGTCTCGTGAGTCTCTGGTCATGCTCTAGCTCCTGCACCTGCAGAAGTTCTGTGAGCCAAAAGCAAGCCCCCAGCAGACCGCTCAGAAGTGTTTTTAGTTGTTTATGCCCCTGCTAGGCACAACGAGATACTGCTTTGAGCTCAAACCAGTGAAAACTAAGGGTGCCCCTTAATCATCAGTGTTACAAACCCACCCTTCAATTTGGTGCAAACAGCACTTTTGATGACTGGAGGATGAGCTCTTCGTGCCCCTTCTGCCGCAGAAATGATCACTCCAGTTACTGTTCTTCAATTTGGGGTGATGTTGTATCAACGTGTTAACTTCTGCAATCAAGCTAAAATGCATAAATGCACAAGTAAGGTGCAATTTATCTGTTTTATTTCATTTCATGTGTATTAGTGGCATCACACATCATTGTCAGTATGTATAGAGAAATAACATTGGTAACATGGCTGGGTCGTCTTATATAAACACACGCTTTCCCATGTACAAAGGATATGCACAAAACTCAGAGCAGGTAGGTCAGGAAGTTTGAATGATTTCTACACTGTTACAAGTAATAAACAGAATTAAAGACTCAAAACTGCACTGTTCATTTTTTCTATCCACCCTGATTAGAAATACAAATCATTATCAAGTTAAAAATGAACTTGATTGTTGATTGCATTGGAGAAATAAATCATATAGGCTTCAGAAAAGATCTGTGTTGTACATTATCATCAGACACATGTAGGAAGGCCAGGGAGGGGGAAACACTGTAACCAAAATTATGAGACTCGTTTAATTGCATGTGATCACAATGAGCAAGTATGGCGGTTTCTTGTGGTGTAAGGGATGTGACTACACTTTGCTCATATTTGTATTGGAGCAAAATGCTTGCTATCTGCTACAAAACATTCTCACCTGTTCAGAAAGTGAAATTCTCAGTGTGCTGGGCTCCATGAACTTCTGTCCATGTCTCTTATAACAATGACACAGATGACAGAGTTTCGTTTACTTCTCCCATCCCTGACACCACTATCTTGGGTTGTTTTTATGCTCTTCCCACCTAGGAATTAGAGTTGTGGGGAAATGTTCCCAGTAGTAGCATTTTAACTTCTGAACTATAAAGGTGCACGCAACCTGAGGTTTTAAACGACAACAACCCATTCAGAATCCCTGCAACCAGGAGGTATGTACTTTGTGGAAAATAATACAGAAAATAAAAAAACAAAACAAATTACTCTCCCTATGTAGAATAGCTACAGTGCATTATTGAAAGCCAGCAAAAGTCTGCTGGATACTGCAAGGACAATTTTAAGATAAGCCAAACCTGGGAAACAAAGTCATGACTCCTCAGAACTAGCAATAAGAGGCAAACAGATAAGAAAGCCAGTGATTCAAACTGTGTCCCACCTAAGAGGTGAAAGTTACGTGTCCTTCCATCTTCAGCATGTCTGCAGGTGTCCTTGCCATTTGTAGCTGTGCCGTTCCAAACCCTGTCACATAAAGTGCACCCCTTGGCACACGTGTGGCACATTACCCAAACCATGGAGGCAAACTCCTGCCCCGGGATAGGGCCACGCTCACAAATCGGAGCCGTTCCTCAGCATCCCTGCTCTCTGCTGGTAGATATTGAACTTGCAGACCCATGATCCTCCGAGCTGTCTGGGTTAGGTTGGAGAGTTTGAGTGACTTTGCCGGTTCATTTACGGCTCCTGTTGGTGAGTACAGCTCCTGAAACTGACCCTGGGACCTCGGGTATTTCGAGAACTCTTGGTAGCTTTGCGGGACATTTCAGCACCCAGCTGTAAAGGGTCACAGCCCCCTTCTTTCAGGTCACCTTCTGCCCTTCTACACCTGCAGCCTAACCAGAGGGGCAGAGCCAGGTTTGCTGTTATACCACATAAGGCTCCCAGCTGGACATGCAGCTGGGCAGAAGACGCATGCCTTTCTCTCTGTGGTCATCTGGGACCTGTGTCTGTGCACCTCAGCACCCCCTTTCCAAGCTTGCTCCGTGACGAGTTTAGTATCAGGGGTTACGCATGTCCCTCCTGTGTGGGAATTCTCTTCCTCAACTTTCTTAGTTGAATTTGGTTTTGGGGTTAACCATCACTCAAGACTCAGGCAGTTTCACAGATACAGCCGCCTAGTAATAAGTCCCACGGGGTAGGTAGCTTCACCAGCCTCCTTTGAAGATGGGACAGCAACACAGGTGAGGTGAGTTGCTGCAGGTGGGGCGGCTACCCAGAGGGAGAGGTAAAGCCAGAGTGGCCCTCAGTGCGTCCTCCCTTCAGGGGCCCCTTCTTCTGCTGAGGTTACAGGTGGTCAGCAGCCCCCAGAGGGCAGAGCCAGAAATCAGATCAGACAAAGGCAGTGTGGCCCCACAGCGCCCCAGAACTTCCCTGAGACTGGCGGAGACACCGCGCTGTCCCGGAGTGGTGGCAGTGACGGGCCCTGCGGTGCCAGCCCTGGGTGTCGGTGACAACGCTGCCTGTGACACTAGGGACCTGGGCCCTTATACCCACCAGCTGCTCTAACTGTAGGATGTGCCTTTAGCCTCTGGTTACTTTTACAGTGAACATAATGTTCAGTGTGGATTTGGCCTAAGTCTGAGGACTTTGAGTGCTTCCTTCACGCAGCGTGTTTACAGTAACAGGTGCTGCAGCCCTTGACCCCGGGTCCAAGTCAGGGCCACGTATCTGCAGGTTGGGGCCTCCTGTCTAGGAGGCCAGCGTGTTGGAGCTCCCCTCGCAGCCATGAACCTTACCTTCGCAGTTCCCCACCGTGTGCTATGTGACTGACGGTGGCCGGCGACTGGGCTTGGAAAGCCATCATGCTGCCGGGGCAGAGCCACAGTCCCCGGCTCCCAGGCAGTGAGCCACCGTGTCAGGGCTGCTGGATTCTGCTCCCGGGACCTGGCTGCAGGTGTTCCCCAGGGCCACCCAGGGGAGCACTCACTTCCTTTCCTCCTCTGGCTCCTTCACTGACCCCTCACGCACATTTCCCCTGACAAACGCCCCGCACACCTGGCCCAGTTTATCACCTGCTCCTCAGAAGTCGCAAACCAGCAGCCCTGTTGGTTGGACCACTGAGGCATGGTTGGAAATGTAAGCATCTTTTCCAGTGAGGAACAGTTTCTTCCCCATGTCTACCTGCACCAGGCAGCTCTCAAAGTCGAGCCACTGTTGGCTTTTAACTCAAGGAGGGAGGAGCTGAGTAAACCCTTCACCTTAGCCACCTGAAGTGGTGGTGAAATAAACTACTGAGAAGGCTATCCAAGGAAAATATCCCAGCAATCATGTTCTTACAAACAGTAAGCCACAAAAGAAAGCTCAGCAAACTACGTCCAGTTTGACTGGCCGATTCCTTTTCATAAGTAAAGTTTTATTGAATAGGATTACACTCATTCATTGATTGATATGTTGTCTCTGTTTTTTTAGTTGAACAGCAGAGTACAGAGGTTGCCAGAGACCAGATGGCCCAGCCAGCCTGAGATACTTTCTATCTTTATGGGAAAATCTGACCAACCCCTGCACGTGGTTATATTCTCCCAGTGGGCAAAGATTTGTGCTGCTGTGTTCTGGCCCACTGCTCTATCATTGAAATTTAGAACAGGCTCCATAAGTTCCTATTAAATAATTAAATTATAGATTTTAATGAAATGAACACAAGCCCAAATACTCCAAGGACTGTGTGTTGATGATAAAATGTAGACACAAAGAGCTTGTACTGGTCAGCTTTCCCATTACTGGTACAAAACACCTGGCACTCAAAGCTTAAGGAGGAGAGGTTTCAATCCACCGTCAGCTGGGTCCAAGGTAGAATCATCATGGAGGATGGGCACAGAGGAGCAGAGCTGCTCACTTCATGGTGGCCAGGAAGTAGAGCCCAGGAGACTGTGGCCAGTGAGAGATGTACCTCCAAAGACACGGCACCCCTGTGACCCAGCTCTACCACCAGCCCTGCCTCTGGACAGCACAACTGTCTGGAAACATCAGCACCAAAATTCCCTGAGAAGCTTAGCTTCTCTAGCATGACCCAGGCACCTGCCCAGAGCTTCCTAATCTGGCCACGTTGACGGTGAAGAGGAGCTGACAGCACTGATGGGTTAGGATGGGACTTCGAGGAGAAGTCCCATCCCTATCCTCCAAGCTGAGAAGTGTGGGCACCCTCCTGACTCAGGCTCATTAGAGGGTGTTTGGGAGGAGACCCCAGATGCCAGGAGCTGCACCGAGAGCACCTCCTCGTGTCTGTGGGGCTGTGGCTGAACAAGGGAGGCAGGAGCCTTTCTCAGGCAAGGATGCTGCTGGTTTGTAGAGAGAACTTGGCCTCCGGTCAGAGCTGCTGGGCTCCTCTGCTTCGTGCGCTGTGCTGAGTGCCTCGCTCCACCCCATTTCTGTGTTTGTATGACAGTAAGACAGGTGTCCTCTCCACCAAATGCCACAACCAGAGGCTGTTGGGTAAACAGTTGTGTTATTCTGTTAACATTTGTTCACACCTGATGAGGTTACATTATAAATACCACATACATTATTCATAAGTATAGAGTGTCACATATAGTATGGTGGTAATTATATATTGTTACATCATGACAGAGATTATCTAACTTACAGTCATATTTTCTTTATGTTCCACCAAAAATTTCATAGGTGTTTCATTTTTCAGTTTTTAATGGTTTCTTTTAATTTGGAGGAATGGTTCATGGTTTTCCTTGGAGATTAACATTTTTAAGGAACTCAGATGATCACCTGGTAATTTGTGTCATATTGTGAATTTGTCTGAGTATTTATCGTGTCCCTGAATCCTGCTGCCCATGCATCCCCTGCTATCCCAGCTGTGCTACCAGTGCCCCGTCATGGGCTAGCAAGGTGCTGTGCACCTGGTCGTCTTCCCAGCCCTGGAGCTGCTCAGGGGGGGGAAGCTTGAGAAGAACATTTAGGCTAGGAGTGGTCTTGCAAAGGTCCCCAGTCGCCTTGCAGTCAGACCGGAGAGAGGCATGACAGTTACGAGGCTCCCTGTGATAGAGGGAAGGGCTTTCCAACTCCTGTCCTCTTCCTGGGCCTGGGTGCTCCTGTAGGAGGCGAGGATGAAGACGGGCACAGGGTGACCCCCAGGAGGAGGCGCTGGGGCCCAGCTGAGGCCTGGCCAGCACAGGGTCTGAGGGGTTCACCAGGAGCCGAGCCTTCACAGTCTCTGGAGGTCGCAGGGTTGTGGGGTTGGAGAGATGATGGCCGTTGTCTTCAATGCAAGCTCAGCTCAGCGAGTTTCAGCTCCTGAGGTGAAGTGAAGACCTACCGTGGGGCCCTACCTTTCCTAGGGCTTGGATAGCACCGCAGAGCACACCGAGCTGTCCCCTTGCTTCCTCTATGAACAAGGGCCCCTCTGAACCTGTTTCCTCACCTCCAAAGTGAGGATGATAATTGCCCCTCATAGAAAGAGTGGCGGGAAACAGGACACCCAGAAAGGATGCCACAGTGAAAGGACCATCAGTGAGCGTGTGACCAGGAGTCACCAGAACTGTGTCAGGGGTCTCTGCGTTTCTAATCAGAGTTTCCAAGGTGACAAGTCTACATGGCGTGTCTTATGCCTGTTGGTTGTCCTGACCACCCAGAGCAGCTCAGACCTTGTGGAAATGCCCACTTGACACTTGGAAACATTGGAGACAAAATACACACACTGCACAACAGACTGCCCTCGGGTTTCAGGACACAGAGCTTAACTCATGAAAATAGATTCAGCAATCCAATGTTCCCAACTGCAACTTCTCTTTCAAACCAATAGCATATTTAAGAAACAAAGCCTGGTTGGCAGAAAATACACTATGTAATTAATCACTCCTGAAGAAATTTTAGTTAAGATCAAAAGCTAAAAATCTCAATTGTTTTTTTTTTCTTTGATTTGTGACTGAAGTTGGACATGTTTTCATCTTTCCTATTAAGGTACTAAATCAGACTTCTCGACTTGAAATACAACTGCTGGAGAATTCACTGTCAACATACAAACTAGAGAAGCAACTTCTTCAACAGACAAATGAAATTCTAAAAATTCATGAAAAAAACAGGTGAGGATTGTTCTATTCAACACCTTCTATATGTGTACTTATTCACATCTCTGCCAACTCTTAAGGAAATTAAGGTTGAGGTGATTTACAAATGAGAAATATGGCTGGGAACGGTGTCACACACCTGTAATTCCAGCACTCTGGGAGGTTGAGGCAGGAAAGTCACAAGTCAGTGCACAGGCTGGGCACTGTAGTTACTTAGTGAGATCCTGTCTAACAGTAAAGCATGGAAAGGTGTGGGGAGGTGTGGGGAGGTAGCTCAGGGTGAAAGCTCAGGGTTTAGTTCCCAGTATCAGGAAAAAAAGAGAAATGTAGAGACAAATTTACTTCTTAGATGAACAGAAAGGAAGTCTTGGGGAAAATAGAGTAAGTATGCTGACAACCAATAAATACTGTTGCCTACATTCTTGAGATACTTGCTTGCTTTAACAGCATTACTTTTTCTACTGTTCAGTTGTTTGAATCCTAACATAGCTAGTGAAATCCCATAGGATTCTTTGGCTGAATTTGGTGACCAAAAAATTGACATTTTTAGTAGAATCAAAATTTATAATCAGTGCAAATAGAGCCTCTGGAACTATTACTCAGCTTACTCTTAAGCTTTTACAAAATAAGAAAGTGGCTGAATTTAGAGATCTTGCACTAAAGAGACCACAAATTTATATTTTCTCCAGAAAGCTATCTGCCTTTAAAACTAATCAGGGAGCTCTCTGTTTTGTCGCTCACTTCCAGCTGTCAACTCTGGACATAATTCACTGTTCAGTTAGCTTTGTAGGTGTCGCCACACCTGGGTTTTATGAACCCAGCATCACCTCAGACAGTGCAGTGGGCATTGGGGGCCCTGTGGCGTGGGGCACCCAGAGCCTTGTGTTTGAAGTCAGACGGCTCAGCCCAGCACTGACACTCACATACCACATCCTTGCATGTAATGGCATTTAGCTGCATTTGGTTTCATTCTCTTGCATATTTGCGTGGCTTGAAGCCCAGTTCAGCTTCTGTGTGTTATATAGCATTGAAGACTCATGTTGGTTGACATTAGTGAACTCCATGGCATTGGTGGGTTGGTTTCTGCCCAGTGCCAAAGCAGGGTTGCTCTGGAGAACTGCCTGTTCTCACCTCTTGTACAGAGCAGGGAAAGGACTCGGGTCACAAACCGGGGCACCCAGGTCACGCAGCCTGCTGGTGTCGTAATGGAGCGAAGCCTCAGTTTCTTCCCCACTGGGCATCCTCTTTCCTCTCTCTCACATGGCCTCTCCTCTATGCACACCCCGAAAGGGCTCCCCACATCACGCTGGTGGTGAACCTCAGTGTCAACCATTGTAATTAAACTTCTGCAGGAAGAAAAAGAAAATAAACCTGGCTGTTGGTTTAGAACATGAAAAGGTCACTTGTGTGCTCTGACTTGTATTTCCAAGTTTTCCAATTATGTAGTCATGAAGTGTCATGGGGTACACTGTGCGACTATAAACAAACTCAGTAAGACCTGACCCTGACCTGGGACCTGGTGGAATTCTGCTGTTGAAGTCCTGTGGAGGAGTCCGCTCACCCTGGCTTTGCAGCCCCAGGCATATGCACGTGTGTGCGCACACGTGTGTGCGTGTGCAGCTCACTTTGGTCATCCTTGACTGGGGTCCAGCAGAGGGAACCCCATGTGCAGTGATACATTTCAACCTCTATTGCAGAAACTCCAGAAATTTTGAATGAATACCACAGGAAAATTTTCTGAGTCATTATTTGTTTTTAGGATTATAGAAATAATACACATTTTCATAGCAAAGGAAAATATACAAGGAAAATGAAAAATCATGGTCCCACCACAGAATGTTGAATATTTTGTCATATATTAAAATATAAATATATTTGCACAAAGGAATGTTGAACCCTACACTCTTCTACAGCCTTCTTTCTCTGGGATGGACTTCTAAATATCAATAATAGCACAGTTGGTGTGTTCGCTCTTTTCCTCCTGAGAGCTCTCCTGGGGTGGCCTCCCTCCCTCTCTCACTGTACATGTGACCACACTGCATCTCTTAAACGGGGGCCAGCAGAATTGCTGTCCCTGCCCTGTGTCCAGCACCGCCGTGTGTGCCCCGAGGTCTCCGGGCAGACCTTCAGCTGTCAGGACTGAAACTCAGGCCGGAAGCCTGGAATGACCTGTCCCCAAGTGTCAGATCCTCAGGTTCTCTCCGTCCCTTTGCTTAGTTTCATGTTCATTTATTTTCTTCCTTTAAAATATATCCCTTCTAATTTAATTTTTGTATTTTTTGACTTTCCACCATGTTGATTTTTTAGTCTTACCAACAGAACCTGGTGTCCATTCCTGTAGTGGGATTATCACTAGAAAATGTTGTATTTTTAACAGAAACAGATTAAAAGTTGTTTTCTCTGTTCCATTAACAAAGCTGAGTCCTAGCAGCTGTCTCCACCTCTCTGGGCCAAGTTTCAGTGGTTTTCCTTGTGCAGTACCCCACTGAAGAAACCCCCAATTAAATCACAGTTTCTAGAGAAAACTCAATTTTTTTGCATACATAGACTATATCATTTATTACTGATGATAATTCTCCAGAATTATGACAACTCCTTTTTCTAATAACAAAGTTTTTCCTGGAGAAGTTCGGGATTTAGGTTGTAACTTGGAGTTCCGTCTCCTGCTGACAAGAATGCACAGTGCTTTTCTGCCTGCTCCACTCAGGCTGTCCTGGCCCAGTCCCTCCGTGGACAGGGTGACTCCCCGGGTCCAGGTCCATCGCCAAGGGCCCAGCGAGAGCTGCGGAGACCTCTGTCCTTCAGCCAGCCGTGTGCCGAACCTTCTCAAAGAAATGTTTTTCTTTGCACAATCCCGAAACACTCAGCATACTTCCCCTCTTCTGTTTATTGTTATTTATTTTCACACGTGCACTGAAAGGATCTGCCAAGCACTTTCCAAAGCAACAAAGACTTTGTTCCTTCCATGTGAGGGGAGAGAAGGCCAAGGTCAAGCCCGAAGCTGTTTGTAGCACGTAAGAGAGTCTCTTGATCATCCCTACTGCTCTTCATGGGAACCTCAGTCCAGGTGTAGCACCAGCCATTACCACACAGAGGATCTCTCCACCGAGGAGCAGCTGCTTTCCCTCCGGTGGTCTGCTGGGGTCAGCTCATGCACTTTGAGGAGTGGATCACTAGATCAGCTCTGCTCCCTGCCAGGGGATCGAGGCTTTGTCCAGCGGATCACTGTCCAGCCTGAGCAGGACCGGGCCTGGTGGAAGAGGAATATTTCATGGATAGGATAATGATACACAGCACGGAGAGGCCCTGCCGATGCACACGGAAACAGGTTTCGGCCTCCTTTATCCCCAAACAGCTGAAAGCAGAAAGCAGGAGTAGGGTTAGCTACTGGTGCTATTTGTTTTCTCATCAGTGGGTTAGCTGTGACTCTAGGACCCTTCCAGTTTGCTGTCTTTAGGGATTACTTTTCCCTTTTGTTGGCTGCTACTGTAATCCTGAAATATGGCTTTGGTTCTTGCCTCAAGGAAAAAGCTCATAGAATACGGGATCTTAACTCACCTGAGAATGGAGGTGATGCAACTGAGAGCCAGAGCAGGGGTAGCGTCAGCATTCACCTCCTCACTGGGTCGGCGCGTGCGCGCAAATGAAGCAGAGTGGGCGCTCTTCCGGCCTGACCTCCCGCCGGGCCGTGCTTCTCTCAGACAGTGGGCCAGAAGCGTGGGCAGAGCTCAGCATGTGGCCCCTCCGGGGGACCCCGCTGCCCTGCCGGCCAGTGCAGAGGCCGGGTCACCTGCTGCTCCGCTCCATCCAGGCCCCCGGTGCGCGGGGAGGGAGTCCCTCGTGAACCGCGTTCCTCCCTTGCCTGGATGGAGGAGGCCCTCGCGAGCCCTTCTGGTGCAGTGGGAAAGGAGTGGCCTGTGGCTCGAACCCTGGACACCGGCCTACCCACTTCACAGGTTAAAAGGCCGCACTCCCAGATGCCCAGGAACTTGCCCTCGATGAAAAGCAAGACCGGAGCCAAATTAGAGTTCAACTCCAGGGCGATTTGCTTTATTAATTATTGTAAAAATCTCTCCCAATGTAATGCAGCTTGCAGTTTAATTGATGTGCCTGCCAAGTTATTCTCTCAGCACAGATGGATATCAACTCGATGAAAATGGACACCGGTTGTTTCTGCCCTCCCACTGAACAGGTCCCAACACGTCCTTCCGGACGGAGAAGGGTGCACAGACTCTCCCCGTTACACTGGGAGTCCGAGGAACTGTCGCCAAGCCTCATGCGCCGTCCACTCGGAGCTGTGGAAAGTTACTAAGTTAATTCATCTTTGAGTGCAATTCAAGATGCCAAATAATGTCTTCCAAACAAATTCCTGCCCTGGCCTAATCAAGCATTAATGTTTTAATAATTAACATGCCTAAAGAAATGAAAAGTTAAACCATAGTCGTTTTAGTGAAAGCTTTCCTCCACTTAATAAATTCCTTACAAAATACTGTTAAACCCTTCTAATTTCTAGCATTAGACTGGGTTGAGTTATACTAGCTGTGTCTGAGAGATCAAGGAAAGGTGCCTGTCAAAATGTTTTCTACTTGTGTAGAAAATCACAGCTCAGATAATATATATGTGTACATAGATTCCTTGATTTTAATTTTATCGGCTGTCACATCTTTAGCACAGGTGGGCAGGGGTCACTTCACTTTGTCGTGTAAATGCGAGGAGAGAGAGGCTCTGTCCTGAACTCCGGCTAGCAGTGGCCAGCACACACAGGTGTCCGCTCAGGAGCATTGTTCTGCATGAATCAGAGCCACATCCAGAGCAGTAACGGACCTTTTGAGGCTTCATGTTCAGTGTGTGCGGATGTGAGGGGACGTTCGGGGCCAGTGTGAGTCGTACGTGTGAGGCATCTGCCTGAGTAACACAGTGCAATGCCCATACGTAAAAAGCCAGTGCTTTAAAAATGAATCAGATACCGAAGGCCATTCCATGTTGTTCCCTTCCTTACAAAGGCCGATTGGCAA